TCACCACTGATTTAGAAAACTTGTTCCTTTGTCCCTGGGTTTAACACCACCTTCCTTTCCCCTGACCTCCCCCTGGAACTGTCGGTCTGTTCTATTTTAAGTTTGTCAGAGTATAAACCAAAACTGTGTAAAAGTCATGTCTTTTTTACCCATGGTGGTATCAAATGTTCTGGTTTCAGACTAGAGTCCAGCATCTCTTTACATTAACTCAAGAATAAATGAAATCTTTCATGTGAATACATATATAATTCACAAGCTCTCAACTGCAATATAGCTGACATATATACTACTTCTAGTAAAGAAAACCAAAAACCCAAACCAACTCCACTGCCATGAAGTAGATTTGGGCTCATGGCGCCCCTCGTTGTACAGACTCATGGCAGCAGCCAGCCTTCTCTCTCTCCCTCAGAGCAGCTGGTTGGTTTGAACATTGTACTTAACAGCTCAATGCCCGACCCACAGCAGCAACAGAAATCCTTATGGAAAGAAAGCAATCATTAAATTCTAAAAGCTGATCTATCGATGCTTTAGTATGAATCACCAACCATATTACTTTATTTTCCCCTCTAGAATATAAACTCCTCAAAGGCTAAGTTGTATTGTTGTAGTTGTTTATTAGTATATTGTAGGAGGGTGTTTTTCTGTGTTTTGTTTTACTCTTATATCACCAGCATATAGACCATGTGACTGGCACCTAGTAGGTGCTCAACAAATATTTGCTGAATAAACATATATGGATAAACACCGTAAGCACCAAAATATTGTATTAGAGCTCACATTCTAAGTACTTAGGACCCCCACCCCCCCATACCATTTCTAGTCTTGACATATATATTCAGCCTCATTGAGTTCATTCTGATCCTAACTGGCCAGGTGAAAACATTTTTGCCCTCATGCAGAGTCTGTATGAAAGTAGATACTTCCTCTGGACAGGCCAGGTGGGGGTTGTGTGCCCTCAGTGATTTGTGGAAGTGTACCTTTAATGGAAGTTGGAGTGCCAGGGCCACATTGTCATTAGTCATAACCCCACTGAGGTGGCCAGAGGGCTCCAGAACCAATCCTGTAAGCTTTTCTATCTGTGGTTCTGTGAGTATGTCAATCGTGGTTCCTGTCCTGTTTCTGTAGTTCAGGCTGCAACCGTGATGCATTGATCTGTCCCCAGTCATGATTTAGTAGAGATTTTCCTTTATTTTCTGTGTTCTATAATTACCAACATAGCCAGGAACCCTTTGGACACCATTATGGTCTCAAGCTGATGGTTTCCCACATCGAGTTGATTTATCTTTGTCTTGCATTCGCCCTGTTTGACTTAGTAAAAGGGGCTCTCTAAAACATATTTGCATTTGTCATTTCCCCCTACAGCAATATCAATAGCTTCATAAAAATCAACAGGGTGGTGGGCATTAAGGATGCTTCTATGGTGCTGATGGTTGTGCAACTTGAACATAATGTCACGGAATGGTCTAGGTGGACAATATTGTGATATATGTAAATGTTTACCAGGAACACACAAAAGTATTGTTTTTATCTTTCACCTTGGCAAGTGGAACTGAGTAGAGCCCTCCAATGGGACTCTACCACCAAATCCCTAATGGAAGAGGAAGAGCATTTCCCGGTGTTTCGATTTTCTCTCTTCTGCAGGTGAAGGAACTCCTTGATGAAGAACGTGATACAGAGTCTTCCAAATGGGCCCTTTTCATGTTTAATGGGGACAGGGCACAGAGACTGAAGATCGAGGAGAGCAATGATACATACTCCGAAGCACTTATGGATGAAACTGAGTTACATTCAACTTTATATCACATGGTTAAGGATTCCGCTTCGGGAGAAGCCATGGAGAAAATTAGAAGGTCCAACTGCCAGTTTACTGATTCTGTATGCCAAATGCTACTCTCTACAAGACTACTCAGCTATTCCTAATCCCCATGGATATGAAAAAATTAAGCAACTTAAAAAAATCAGACATTTCTTCAATAAAATGTAACCAGTGAATAGATTTCGAATGACTATTAAAGTGATCTAATTAGCATTGTAACTCAAATTGTATTTTAAATAATGGGTACTTGTTTCCTTACTAATTGTACTTGGTCTACTGAAAATTTCAACATTCACTGTTAGGAAGATTTGATTTTAATTCACCTTTATTTCAATAAATTTTAACAAATGAAACAATATTTAAGAGTCCTTCCTTGAAAAGCTCATTAAACCATCAGAGGCAGACTTGCTCCCCACCATATTTTAGGCAGAGAGGTCATCACAGACAGATGTAGCATAAAAACCTTACCGTTGAGGCAAGAACCTCCTCTGGTACTGGGCTATCCTTCCCAGCTACAACAATTCAGAGTTCAGACACTGACACTTAAAAAAATCAAGCTGCACAGGTTCGGCTGTGCAGCAGTCACACTGGTGGCGGCCCGTTGTGCTGGAGTCGGGTAAAAGGCCACAAGGCATGTTCTAGAGACATCCACGAGTCCCCCTGCTGTACGGGAGCGGCATCCACAGACTTTTGGAAAAACAAGCCCGTGAGGAAGCTCATCGTAGCAGCAAACAGTACGACGAACACAACCGACATCCAGAGGGTCTTATTCGCTTTCCCAAAGGTCGTCTTGAGATTTGTTGCCCAGGAAGCTATTGTGCCAAAACTGTAAGGAAGATACAAATGCAGAATGGGGTGATCCCCATGATTTGTTGCAATCAAATTGTTAATGTGCCCCAGCTACCAACAGCGCTGCCTTACTATGATATTGGTATTGGCCCCAATCTGCATCCCGTCCTATATGATAAATGAAGAAGTGATATGCTGTAAGGAAAATCTGCCAATCACGTGCCTCAGACATTGTTGTTTACCCTAGCAAGCATGTTCTGATACTGACCTCGTTCTTTCAACCCGGGAAGGCAATTTATGTGTATCTGAAAATGTAATTTACTAGGTAGAGTAGGTTATATGAGCAGTCTTCCAAAAGTTCATCATTCAGAAAAATTCCATTCATTTTAAATTCCATTTTCCATGAACTTTTTGAAATTCACAAACATGTAGATGTGTGTGTATATACACGTGTCACTTATTTATCACCATAAACTGCACTTGTCTGTACTCAAACTGAAAACTCGTTTCTTTTAGAAATAGAAACTTAAAAACTCATTTCTTTTAGAAATAGAAAACACACACTAAAAAGCTTATTATAACATCAACTTTGAAAATAGTTGATTCAGGGCAAGACATTGTACATGTGCTGATTCATTTACTCATGACAACACAGAGATGTCAGGATTATTCTTATCCTTATAAACTGGTGCTCAGAACAGGAGAACTTGCTTATTATATCACATCTCAAGCCTACTGCCATCCAGTCCATTTCCAACCCATAGTAACCCTACCCAGGGTTTCAGAAACTAGCTATCTATGGGAGCTTATCCAATAAGCTAATTATTGGAAGAAAGATGAGCCTGTCTTTCTAACCACTAACCTTTCAGTTAGCAGCCCAATACTTAGCGACGGCACTGCCAGGGCCCCTTTATAGCCATACACCCGAACCCATGGGGGCAGAGCAGAACTGCCTCATGGAATGCCCCAAAAGGCTTAATCTCAGTCTTTAGGAAGCAAGCTGCCAGTGTTCTCCCAGGGAGCATCTGGTGGGTTGGAAGTGCGGACCTTTCAGGAAGCAGCCCAGTGCTTTAACCATTGTGCCACTAGGGATCCTCTATAGCTAGTTACCAAACCCCAAACCAAACCCACTGCCACCAAGTTCCTCGAACGCACCGAGACCCCGGATAGGGTTTTGGAGCCTGTTAATGTTCAGGGGAGGACCTGGCCTTCTCTTTCTCCCTGTGTTGACCTACCAGCCTTGAGGTTGGCAGCCCAATGTTAGGGCTGGAAATTGAGCCTCGCTCATTGGGCTACACAGGCAAATGCCTGACACTGAGCTCTCCCACCTCTTGCACCATTAGGCTCAAGAATAGCTATGATGGATCACACCTACTCTTCCATTCATGTTCAATTTAATAAGTTGATACGTCTTTCAGTAAAGTAATTTAATATTAATATTGTTAACACTGCTTTACCTTTCAGCATTCCTACCCAAATGACATTATTTAACAAATGCGCAACTTACGCTGAAGAGACATCCCATTTTGATGGATTAGTTCTCTTTTCAGAGAGACTTGGCTTCCTGGTCCTTTCTAGGATTTCTTCTCCAGGTGGTTCTGAGGCATCTTTAGTTCTGTAAACAAGTCTTGTTTTAATATGTGAAACTAAGGTGAATGATCTGTAAGTCAAGAGTCTCATGAGTAATTGTTTTGCTTTAGAAAGATCTCCTATATTACCAACAAGGGGGGTTTCAAAGAATTTGTGGGAAATTCCACTATATTTTAATTCCATTTTCCACCAATTTTTCAATCCCCCTATTTCTCCAAATCACCGAAGTTATAGGAATTTTATTTTAAAATAATTTATAGTTAGAAAAATAATGTTTGTTTTAGAAAATTAGATCACCAGCCAAAGAACAAAGGAAGGTTGTAGAAAAACTGGTGAAATATACAAAGATCCTATAACATTTGTCAATCTCACACCAACAGTTAGTCAATGTTAACATGGCTGATCTCCGTCTCTGCACATATATGTATTTAACCACCCTAGAATAAATTTGGGTGCTATATATATCGTCATTTGTAATATATATTTTTTATTTAACAATAAGTTTTAACATCAATATAATTATTAAACATCCTACCACATCATTTTTGGTATTGTATTAGTGGATTTTACTTTTTCCTTGGTAGGATTTTTCATAAATGTGAGTGTGGAATAACCTCAAAAGGGTCATTTCCTCTGTTTCTTTTTAAATCTTATTAATTTGAAAAATATTTATGAACATAGATACTTCAAACAATCTATTCAGTGAGCTGAGCTACAGCGAATGGAACAACTTTTAAGTTAAATGTAGTCTACAGAGAGGGCCCTTCATTAAAGAAACCTTGTTTCATTATCACTGTTATGGACTGAATTGTATCCCCCGCAGAATATGCTGTAAATCCTAACTCCTCTATTTCTGGATATACTGTAATCCCATTTGGTATAGGGTTTTCTTTGCTAGTAAATGGAGCTAGCTCAGTGTAGGATGTGTGTCAAGCTAATCAATCACCTTTGAGATACTCAATGAGCAGAGCAGACATCAAGAAGTAAGCAGAGAAGGAGGAAGAGGGGTGCCAAGTTACATGAAGGTCATGCAGGAGCAGAAACTCAAGAGACAAGGAGTTCTCTTCTCAAGAGTCAACAGAGAGAAAGTCTTTTTCTAGAATAGGTATCCTGAATTTTGATTTTTGACCTCTTAACCTGTGGGAATATAAATTTCTGTTTGTTAATGCCATCCTCTTACAGTTTTTCTGTTACAAAAACTCAACTCACTGCCATCTAGCCGATTCTGGCTCTCAGCAACCCTCTTGGACCGAATATTATGGCCCCTGTGGGCTTCTGAGGCTGTAAATCTGGACTGGAGCAGAAAGCCTCCTCTTTCTCCCTCAGAGCGGCTGTGGGTTCTAATAGCTGACCTTGTACAACACAACCCAATTCATAACCCAATATGCTGTCGGGGCTACTAGCCCCACTAGACACTTAGGACAGAATGCGGTACTGGAAGAGGGGGGTGCTGCCTTACACACCTGAAAACGTGGAAGCAGTGTTGGAGAAGAGACTGGTCGAGTTTTCCGGTACCTTCTAGTAAAAACCTAGATTGCTTCGAATATTGGAATTGTGGACAGTCTTCATGAGCGCTCAGAAGGCGGAGCTGCAGAAAAAGACTCTTGTCTTAGAGAACATGCTTGCCACTGGCAACAGGATGTTCCGTACTTTACTAGCAAGGTGGAGGTTAGATGGGGAGGCTTCACAAGGAAACGACGGAGATGTGATCAGACAAGTGAGGGCAGGTGATACTTGTCATGCAGTCGCTATGAATGTGAATTATGTTCAACTGTTCGGTGAAAGGTCACATTTGGAAGTCATACATGTGGATCTCTAGAGGAGGAGATGTCTAAGCAGGATCTTAAAAGGCTTCTCCTTGCTGCTTATATGAAAGTCCAAGAGGAGAGCTGTAGTCTTTAAAAGGAACTGTGCAAAATGAAAACAGAACTTAAACATTTGGAACACTCTGTTGTACAATCTCAGGACACGTGTTCCAGGATTTTCACCAAGGATGTGGCTACAAAATCTTTTGTTAAAAAGGTCAATCCTCTGGCTGATGGGTCTAGTCAATGAACATAGAAGAAAATCCATCAGTTCAGAATGCACGACTTAGGGACAAGATCAAAGGAAGGAAAACTGTGTCTCTTAGAATTCTACAGGCAGGAAGCTGTCCAAAGAAGCTCTCATTTTAATGTTTGTCCTCCAAGAAAGGAAAAGACCACCCCGGAATCAGGTCCGAGATCACCATCAGTAGCGAAGAAGCACAGGAAGTAGGGCGGCCTCCTATGAAGGGGTGGAGTCACAGCCTTCTAGGCTTCAAAGGATGGCACCACGGACACCGGACACCGGGTTTCACAGTGTCCGACCTCCAGCAATTCAGCGGCTGTCAATATGTGCCACCCAACGCTGGGGGGACAGGGCTGTCATGGCCAACAAGAAAAAGAATCGAACCTGTAGGAGCCATCACTCAAGTGGACTGAAAAGACAGAGCTGCCCCAAACTGAGAGATCAGAGTTTCCATCTCAATGGGACTAGTAGGTGGGCTGAATCCAACAGTCTGGAAGACAGAGCCCTGACCTGTGGTCCAGCAGAACAGAACTGTTTCCAAGGCTTGAGAGCCAATGGGATTTGTTTTGCTAGTTCTCAGACTTGCTCGGTGACCCTAAACCCTTTTTCCCTTCTAATTTCTCCTATCTATTATGGAAATTTCTGCCTTACTATTGTATTTTAGAAACAGATAACTTGTGTTCTAGACCTCACCCGTTCACGGGGGATGAAAAAACGTGTACCAGGAGAGAAGACACCTGAAGTATCACATGTTTGATGTAAATGGTTCGTAAAATGAGACTGTGTTTTGTATCTCAGGAATTGGGGTGGGGGTGGCAGGCAAAGGCTGTAATGCTATGTTACAAGTTGCATTTCTATTATAATGTATTATATTGTATCATGCTGAATTGTACCCATGTATTGTAAATCTTAACCACTTTATTACTTGTGCATGTCCTCCCTTTGGGGAATAGGATTTTCTTTGTTCGTAGGCCATCTTTGTGTGGAGTGTGTCTTAAACCAATGAATGTTGACATATAAAATGAACAGCTCAGGCACAGAGAAGCAGGCAGAGCTGGGGGATAATAGATACCAGGCTATGTGAAGTTTGCCAAGGGACCGAGCACATACATAAGCTGAAACAGACAAGGGCATTTCCTCAGAGTCAACAAAAGCAGAAAACCTTTCTCGACCATTGGGACCTTGCATTTGGACGTCTAGCCTGCTCAAGTGTGAGAAAATAAACTTGCATTCGTTAAAGCCACCGACTTGGGGTGTTTCTGTGATTGCAGCACTGGAAAACTAAGACAGATGAGTTCATCTTTGGACTTGCATTTTGAAATCCCAAACTCATAATGCACTCAACAAATGCTAAAAGGAACTATGCCTAATTAATTTTTTTTCAATCAAGCGTCTTTAGGGAAGGCACATAATAGGTTTTAGTCTTGTTTGTGAAGAAAACAAGGTCCATAGCCCAAATAATTTACGTTCTTGAAAGGTTTTCAAGGTCTTTATTTACAAAGACCCCCCCCCCCAAATGGAAATCATACTATTTTGTTGTTGTTGTTGATAATTTTATTATTTTTATTTTATTTTTCACTTCATCTGTGTTCATGATACCTGAGCTTCATTGACAAGGAAATTCTTGCTGTGACAGTACACCTTTCCTTTTAAGAAATATATTCATGAGATATTTTGACAGGATATGCATTCTAACAACAAGATCACACACTCGTGATGCATCTCTTGATCTATTGCGTTAGAGTTTGTAGCACATCCAATAATGTTATGAACTGTGTTGTGCCCCCTCAAAATATCTATTATAAATCCTAACCTCTATGCTTGTGATTCCAATCCCACTTGAGAATGGAGTGTTTTCTTATGTTAATGGGGCAGGATTAGTGTAGGGTGCATTTTGAAGCAATTTCTTTTGAGATATAAAAAAGATTTAACAAGTAAGCTATGAGGCAGAGATGTAGGATGAGAGAATGGAAGTAACATGAAGACTACTCAGAAGAGGCAGTAACCTTCTTCCAGACCAATAGAGAGAAGGCCCTCTAAAGGTGGCACCCTGCGTTCAGACTTCTGGCCTGCTAATTATGAGAGCGTGAACTGTTGCTGGCTAAAACCATTCACCAGTGGTACCTGTTATGCCAGCCCTGGAAAACCAAGAGAAGCAGACGCCCGTGCGGATTCAAAAATGAAAACAAAAATATAGACTCTTTGGAAGTAGGCACTGTGCCGGCTGTTCTTTGCATTCCTAGCATCCACTGCCTATCACACAGAAGTACTTCATGAATATATAGAAAGTGAATACACACTCCTTTCCTTAAACTCCCTTGATTGTGCTGCTGAGAAAACCAAGAGAATACAAGGTTAGGCCATTTACCCAAGATGACACAATCACTGAGCGGCAGCGTTTCTTCACCTCCCTCTTTCCTGATCTCAACCTTTTGATACACTTGATCTTAATCAGAAGACTGAGAAGTGATCAGCCTTTCACTATGGAAGTATATGCTATTAAGTTTTTATTGATTTACTAGATAGAGATTTATGTTTCTCTTACTTTTGAGTCACAAAACAGAGCTACACAATACATATATGTTGCATGTATGTACATACATTATTGATATGCATATTCTACACACATTTTATCTAAAAATTAATTTTTAAATTCAGGTTAATGAATATTTTATTTCAGTAGCTCTTGATTGTCCTTTCCCCTGAGGGCTAGATATCTATTCAGAAAATAATTATCTTTGCATGCCTGGCAAATTCCAGAAACTTTTCTAACTCGGGACCTCTAACCTTGCAAGTTTGAGTACTACAAAAGTGAGTGCAGTCACAAAATAGCATTTACATAGTGAGGTATAGTTTGTAAAGTGTTTCAGAAAGAACTGTACTTCTGATGATGCAGCTTTGATCTAATCTCCAAATAAATGCGATGCCCACTGTTGAGGCCCCGCGTTCACATCGGGCTAAGTCAGCACACCAGCGCACTTACTTCAGCTCGCCTTTTTCTTCCTCCGCATCCGCCCACGAGTAGGTGCTAATGAACCGATGTAACGAGGGACGGTGTTCGCTCTGCTTTGACCCCAAAACACGCCTACATAAAGACGAACATGGTCACATCCACTTGCCAACTGAAATATATCTTTAGCTACTGTCAAGTTATTTGCTATTGCTTAAAGTAAGAAAACATTGTATAATTAATTTTGTGGCACAGTCACATGACTTCTATTTTACAATAGAGCGGTCCGATGACATTCTATGGATACTTATTTAGTTTACTTTTACTCCGTACTAGACATACGTTACTGTGTTGCTTATTTCAAGTGCTCATTTCTGTTAGCCCCACTATAAAACAGTAAGGCTCTGAAAAAAGCAATCATAAGATTACACTTACCAACTGCTTGATCTCCTATTGAACCGGTCATTGTTTTCCATCCCAGCCAGCTTTTGAAGTTGAGATGTTAAAGAAATGAGAAAATAGGAGTTCAGTACGGGGCCTGCTCATGGTTTTTGGGATGTAGAAAATGAACAAACTTTTTACTAAAAGTGCTTAGGAATCTGTTTACCATTGCTGCATTTCCAATATTTCTGGGCAAAGAGGCAATGGTCACTCTTCGCAGAGAAGATGGCTACATGGAGGAAAAGGGGCATTTAGAACAATTCTCAATATTTTACTGTTATATGTAACACTGATGAAAGCTCTGCACGGTACAGCTACGCACTTGCCACTGCTGAGTTAAACAAGTGAAATATTTTAAACATTTTTTGCTACAGCCAAATTTCTCCCCCAAATATTCTACCGTCCCTAATAGCGGATTATTGTAAATTTTGCCTATCAGATAAAAATATATATAGTTTGCTTTGGTTTGCATTTATTTGACTTCTAGTAATACTGAATCTATTTTAACAACCCCGTGCATTCTGCTCTATGAACCACATGTTTAGGACCTTTGTTCATGATGTTTCCCCCAAGAAACATTTTTATTGTTAAAGGAACTCAATCTATTCATCAGTCTTGTACCCTTTCAACATACTGATTCAATCCGTATGCTAAACAAATAGTCCAATGACCCGGGCTCTATGACGAACACAGCGTCAGGATTGGGAAAAGCTATCGACAACCTGTAATATACGGGTGACATGATCTTGCTTACTGAAGGCAAAGAGGACTGGGAAAACCTTCTGATGAAGATCAAAGAGTACCGCCTTCAGTTTGGCTTATAACTTTATGGAAAGAAAACGAAAATCCTCACAACCTCTTGACAAGCCCCTGTCAGGATTTCATTCTACTTGGATCCAAAATCAAAACTCATGGCAGCAGCTGTCAAGAAATCAAACAATCCTGCACTGGGATCTTAAAAGCTCTCAGGAAGCAGCCATGTGAGGTACAGCGATCGGTTTTACCTAATCTAGAGGAACGAATGACAAGGATCGAAAGATGCATGGAAACAGCTAGTTCAACAGACTGAGGGGTCACGTAACCCCGGTCTTCATAACTGACACCTGAAGAAGTAGATGATACCAAGCTCCACAACTAACTGCTCCGAAGAGAATCAAGTATCAGAAAGTCTTGGACAGAGAGGGAGAAAAATGTGGATCAGAACTCAAAATCATAAGTGAGACCAGACGTTTTGATCAATAGGACTGGCGGGAGGCCCAAATGTATGGCCTTTACCCTCCGGCTCTGGAACTGAACTCACCACCAAGTTAGAATCATGAACTAGTTATGATAAAAAAGGTAGCATTTACCCCAGGGCAAAGTGCAGAGGGTTACGAAAGAAGAGGAACACAGGGAGGAAGTGGGAGAGGTTGTGGTACACTGAAGGGCTTTCAATGGATGAGCAGAATCAAAATACCTATTATGGGTAGAATGTAACGCATCATATGTATTTTCCTTGGTAAATCTTTACCTAAGTCACAGAATACCCAAACTTGGGGTTTTCTTTTCATTTCTTCTTTTTCACAATAGTTTATTTATCTTTTAGTTCTTCCAAAATGGAAGCTATCAAGTCCTACAGCTTAGGAGAAAAAACACCACCACCAAGACCCCTGCCCCCCTCCCCCTTTTCTTAAAGTCACAGGACACAGAAGGAGCTGCCATGGGACAGGTGGGCACAGAGAAGCAGATGGGGGAGGAGGACAAGATAAACTCCCCCAATACTGAGAAGAGCAGTTCAGCAGAGACCGATCAATGCAGGACAATGCAAGACGAGTCAAAACAAGGAGCAGCAGTGACGACAACCCAGTTGAAGACGTGGCCTCCCTTCCTCTCCTCTTTTTATCCTCATCAGGGATTCTAGGCCCAAAGCGTGACTTAGCCCTTCCACATCGACCTGTTGTCTCCTTCGAACCACCTCTAGGTTTTCACTACAAGCACCACACGAGACACAACCAACCTTCCTCAGACAACACGTCAGAGGAGGAGACGGTGGTAATTTGCAAGCCATGGGATTTCCAGTCGCCTCATACGCATGGGAAAGCTGGACACAGAGTAAGGAAGGCTACAGATGAAGTGGTGCACCCGAATCACGGGATCAGCAGAGAATATTGAAAGTGCCTGGCTTGCTCAAGTCGAGGATCAGTGAAGGAGAGGAAGAGCGTCAAGGAGACAGACACAGAGGCTGCGTCAGGGACTCAACGGAGCAGCACCAGGCAGGTTCTGAGGCGTGGTACAGACTTGCTCGGAGTTGGAACCTAGTGGACAGCATCGGCCATCATCCTCTTTGCTTTGACGCCTACAGAGGGTTTTCCCAACTCAAGAAGTGGTCCATTGTGTACCCTTATTTGTAGCCTTTCTTTCCCCATGTTTGTTTGTTCCCATTTAAACATTCAAAGATGAGCCTGATGTTTTAATGAATAGAAATGCTTATATATCAGGCTTATGTTTTCCATAGAAAAATGCCATTATGCAGTTCTTAAAGCTTAGAGAACAACTTTGGGATATCAAAACATCTTAAATGTAGTAAATATATTAAAGTATTTTTATGGTAAATCTTTTTTTTTAAACCACCATCCATAACTTATTTTCATAGGTCATGAAGCATCCAGAATTTCACACTGAGGCCTAAGAAACCTGGGTTCTACCTTTACAAGATCTAACTAATCACTTAACTTCAGTGCTTTGCAGTTTATTTAAGAAAAAGAGGAATTTGTATGGAATAATTGTACAGTCATTAGCTTCAATAAATCTGATTTTCCATCTATGTCTGCCTCTGTTTGACCTTTAATATTCTATTGTCCCCATTTATTTAGAAACAAACAGAACCCTTGATAATATAAACTATTTCCCAGTTTTATGCTCAACCAGGAAAGAAACGGGAACTGTCATCTGGGACATCTAACAAATGGTGTTGGTGTGTGTGTGTGTGTGTGTGTGTGAGAGAGAGAGAGAGAGAGAGAGAGAGAGATTGCTTCTTTCATATTTGGAGGGTGACTAGATGTAACCATGTAGAGACATGGTGTTGGACCTGCAGTAGTGATCATAAGACTGTGTGGTGGAATACAGGAGCTGAGAATGATGGAGTGGGCAGAGAGGTGGCATCTGGTCCCTTTGAATCTGGTAAAGATCTTTTACCATCACGGGCTTACCTATTTTCAACTTTTATTTCACATGAGAAAGAAATATATAGAAATTATTATAATAGCTTTCCCGATCCTAGCAAATAGATGTAATGAAAATAATAATATAGCAGGAAATATAAAAGCACATGCTTATAAATACAAACACACAAAAACCACCTTGTAAGCATTTGATAGATGAAGTAGGAAACATTAATAATTACCTTGGAGTTTAGAGAAGCTGAGCGTTTTTTAATTTGGCAGGCATCTGAAGGGGAAAACACAGTTTACAAATTACATATATAACTTAATGAAAGGAATGGTCTTCATTCTCTAGAAAAAACGCAAGGTCAGAAAAGAGGTATTTATACTACTGAGCAGTGAAAGCTCTCCTTACCATTACCATAACAATCACCATTTTTGCCAATGACAAACAATGACCCCTTGTCATTGGAGATATCTGAAATGCCTACCTACCATGTCCAACCAGACCACTGGCATCAAGTCGATTCCCGTTCATATGACCCTGAAGGACAGAGGGTGGGACAAAACCACCCGAGAGGACGTTTTTCTTTTTAAACAACAGCCTGCCACAGCTTTCTCCTGTATAACTGCGGCCGGTAGATTCAAACCATGCACCTTCTAATTAGCATCTGGTTAAATACTTAACCACCATGCTACTAGGTCATTTAAATGACACCAACTGGTCTACTCTTTCTAGCAGGAGGAATTCACTAACGAATTCTGCCAGAAAAGTTTGCATTGTTCATTGAACAAAAAACTATTGTAAGATTTGTCTAAGCTGTGTGACACGACATGACCCATGGCCTCAGGGAGGCCTGTTTGTCAGTCTATTCCCTCTGTGGTGCCAAGGTTGCTGCTGCTTCAAGGAATACAAAACCATGCTGATGGGAATAATTTAAGTTTTTCTACCACATTTGATATGTGGAGAAACAATTAGCCCTAACATATCCCAAACAGAGAAATACTAGGGTCAACTTAGGGCCGTGGGTGGCACAAATGCTTTGCTCTCAGCTATCAAGAAAGTCCTGGTGATTTGAATCCATATGATTAAAGCCAACCAAATCCCTGTGGAGCTCAGTTCTACTCTTTAACTCTGACCCAAAGACAATAGAAGGGCCATCTTCATGGCCTGCATTCAATGTACTCACTCATCTCAGATATCTGAATTGATTTGATGCATTTTCACTTTTATAACCAATAAATCCTTCATGACTCTCAACTTGTTTTCTCATCTAATACAACCTTACTCTAAAGGTCTTATACTAAAACACATACAAAGATTTAGGAAGAGAAAAGAAAAGAGGAAGTGGTTAGGAAAACTTGACGCTGTTATCTTAAAAAAATGTTTTGTCATCTTCAATGGTGTGTTACCTTCATCTCCAAGAGGGTTGAAAGAGCGTTCATTCTGCAGAAGAACCTGCTTCAGTTCTTCTAATTCTGCATGCTCTTTGGCGTACATTCTCTTCAAGTTTTCTACATGTTGAATCATCACTTCGACCGCCTTACTCACCCTGCTTTCCTAGGAGGGGAGGGAAAACAACATGATAGTTAAACTACTCCTCTCCATAGCCCGGAAAGACGCAAACTGATGACATGCATCATTGCATCCCTACGTTCCAATGAAATGACAATTAGCTGTGTTTTTAAAAGTCAAGGCATCTCCAAGAGTACACAGTATAATGGAGATTATAAGTGCAATGACATTTGGCATGCTGGACAGAATACTAATGACAAGTGACTTACAACAACTGAAACCCCTGAATCCTGACAAAGGTCATAAGGGGAGCCTATAGAGGCAACCTGGAGTAGGGAACAAGCAGCCTTGAGACTTGACACCAGGACCCTTGGAAGTGAGTGTGTGACTAGACTACTTGTTCAAAGTGTGTGCAGAAAGCAAGTAGATCTACTGATTTCCTTCCTTATACGGAGCAACTTCCCATTCATCACATTCCTGAAAGAGTATAAGGTTGAACCTCTGGAGTGAGTGAGAGAGAGGGTTTGTGGGCTAGGAGACTCCTGATATCAGATGGTGAGTATACCACACTGAAAACCACAGATTTAAGTAAATGTCTGTGTTGGTTCTGAATATTGAGACTGGGTAAGTCTAGGTAAACTAGGGAAACAAATCCACAGAAACTCATCTGTCTAAGACAGAGTTTTATATAAAGGTTAAGTGTACATTAAGAAAGCATCCCAACTCTGTGCTGCCCAAGCCCACAAGTCCACCATTAGCCCATATGTCCGATACCAATCTACAAAGTCCTCCTCCATCTCAAAAAACACACACTATGACACCGACTGCAGGAGGAAAGCTGAGTCAGCGTGTAAGTGTCTCAGCGCTGGCAGGGTCTCCACACGGCTGCTCCAGCACCCAGGGCTGCATGGGGTAGGTCCATGTGGCATCTCCTCAGGGATGTCCTGCAGGAAGTGGGCCTTGCCAACTGAAGCAGGGAACTGGCTAAGGCAGCTGCACCCTAGTCTGACCATCACAAAGCAAGAGACCCGAGAACTAGCAAGGCGAGGTTCACTGAGCTATTTATCTCTCCACTCTTCAATTAATCCCACATGTGTTCATCGGCCAGGTTGGCAAAATAAACCTTAACTATCTCAGAGACCTCCCAGCCTTACTCCTTTTCCCAGCTCTCACATACAGGCAGCAGCACTTAGCATTTGGAAGGCTCAGTAAACAAGAACCTGCTCCATACAACACTCAGAGTTCCCAATCAGCTGAACAAATAGAGTTGATCATCAGACGGTGAAGTCTCCAGAATGAAAGATGGAGACCGAAAGACTGAGACAAACGGGAGGAAATAAGCTGTAGGGAAATGGAAACTTCCAGGAACTTCTGATCACTCAGTTCAGCGTTAGGGTCGTCATTAGAACGATGAAACAGGCATTCTGAGAGCAATGGTCAACGTTGCTGCAGCTAAAAAGCACAAGACAAATGTCAACAGAAGAGTTTCAAGATAAAGTTGAGTAAATCTTTCTGAAACTGGTGTTGGAAAGATTAAGAGGTAAAAAGGGGAGGAGGGAGTATCAGCTCAGGAGAGACAATATTCAAATAACGGGACGTTTGAGAACATATAGAAAATATAGACGAATTGGCATCAGATTTCAGTAGTAATGCTACGTTTAAAAAAATGAAGCATTAGTAGTGATGCTAAGTTTAAAAATAGGATGCAATTTAATGAAAATGCTAAGAGAAATGATCTTTCACCTGGAAGCTAAACTAGCAATGAATCATGAAGACAGAGTAAATACATTTTCAGTCTTGCAACTTCTCGAAAAGTTTATCTCCCATATATTCGTTTTTCCTCTTCAGGAAACAGCTAGTTAAAACAGCAAACTAAAGGAATTGACCAGGAAACAGATCAACTAAAGAGAGGAAGTGAAAGGAATCTCCACTTAAAATAGTTCCTAAAGAGTCTCAATGGACCTAAAAAACAGCCACCCAGTTGAAGCAGGTGGAAGTCTCTAGAAGCAGTATCTCAAAGAAAATAAAATCGACAAAATACCTAATGAATTTTAATGGGTTGGAAGAACTAGACTCTAAAAGAAGTATGGGAGAGAATAGGTGATAATAAGAAACAAATAACCATCACACCCAAACACACAAAAATTAGATGATAATAGGAAACAAATAAATAGAAATAACAACAATAACCCAAACCAAACAATGCCACAAAGAACGCAAATCTGTACAAAAAGAGAAAAAGCCATCATGACGGGCCACTGTGTCTTCTGTCATCAACATCTACATCGACATGGTCATTTTAATGCTAACACTAACTATTGATCAAAGATTACTCATTCAATCTCTTGCTCATGTGTTCACGGGCACTTATTGAGCCCGTTATATATTCAGCATACTCAGAATTCCTGTGAAAGTTTACTTAGGACAGCCAAAGAAGGCTTTCTGTGAAGGTGACACTTGAATAAGACAACAGGAAGAGTATCGTAGGTAGAGGGAACCCCTAGAACTAGGGGGCCAACGGTGGCCCTGTCCCTAAGGTGTCATGATCAGAAAGGAGACCAGGGTGGGTGGAATGGCATAATCCAGAAAGATAATGAGGAGACCACTCCCCAACCTGCTTAGCTCTATGTTTCAATTCTTCACATGTTGCAATTTCTTCAGCTTGCCCAATGAACCTATCCTTAGGATCTAAGAGTACTGTCACAATATACTAAAACAGATAGCTCATATATTGCCCCTAAATTAACCTGCTCTTTCCTTCCTCTTGACTTGTTGCTTTTGAGTCTTTTTCTCCCAGAGAAAGTATCCGACCACAGCAAGTGAGGATCAGTTATAACCTGACTAAGCCCCCAGAACATGCCCCCAAAGGACAGTTGACCCCAGAGCACAATAATTTTGGCAAAGTAACAAAAAGCAGCTAGAAACCTGGACGACTAGACCAACCTGGACAACAGAAGCAAGGGACCCAACAAGTCATCTCCTGGCCGTGAAGTAAGATCTTGTCCCCCTGTGTTCATCACTTCAGTTTACTTCCAGATGCACATATAGTAGCTGCAAATACTCTCTTATTCTGGGGGTTTGCGTAGCAACTCTAGTTCTGGCTTAGTCCTTGCTTGATGGACCAAGTAGACATTTCCCCTTCACTTTCATCCAGGCTCTGTCTTTGTTTCTCAGCCATAGCCAGTGAGACCGGGGCTGGGGGCAAGAGTCCTGGGTGATACAGTCCAAGAGGTAAGCGGGCAAGAAGTCCTGGAGAATCTGTAGGCCACTGTGAGGACTTTGACTTTGACTGAGAAAAAGAGGTGCCAGTGGAAGACTTTGAGCCCCAAAGTAAGATAACCTGACTTAAATTTTAAAAGAAGTTCTCTGGTTATTTTATATTGAAAATAGATTGTGGGGCAGGACTATGGAGAAGAGTCTGGAAGCAGGGAAATCAGTTAGGAAGCTGCTGGATAACCAGGAGAAATGGAGGTTGCCTTCGATAAAAATGGTAGCAGTGAAGAGGAAAGTAGAGGTCGGATTCCGGGTACATTTTGATGGTAGAGCCAACAGAATCTGTGATAGGATTTAATACAGGGTATGAGAGAAAGGGATCAAGAATTATTCCGAAGGAATTTTTAGCGTGAGCAGTTGCCCTTGGAGACTGTGCGTGAAGCCAGTTTTGAAGGACTAATTATACTTTAGTCTTGGACATGTTAAGTTTGAATTGTTTATTAAATATCAAAGTAGTCATGTTGAGTAGGCGGTAGTTGATTTTATTCTTCAACACAGAGCAGTGGTCCAGGCTGAACATACGAATCTGGGGTCTTCAGCTAACTGCGATCACACGTGGATTGAGTGCAGCTGGAGCTCGGAGGCACAAGGTTGGGTACTTGAGTCCCTCCCATTGAAGATGTCTGAGGGAAGGGATAGACCCTGCGAAGGATGTGGAAGGAGCTGCAAGTGGTGTTCAGTGAAAACCCAGGGATGTCGTGGGGAAACCAAGAGACGGTGTTTCCAAAAGAAGAGAGAGCTCAGTCATGTCAGCGCAGCAGGCAGACTGAGACACTGAGTCTTGCAATGTGGAAATCATTAGTGAATTTGGTAAAGTTAATTTTCTGGAGGCAAAGGGGTAATCAGCATAGGTTTAGAAAAGAGTGGGCTGTGATGAGTGGGAGGCAGTAAGAACAATTATTTTGAGACGTTTTACTATAAATAGAGCCAGATTTAGTGTGGTAGCCAGAGGAGAAGAGGCAAGAATAGCTTTATTTTATAAAGGTTGGGGTTTTTTTTGTCTGTGTTAATATTTGTGTTACTTTTGCATCTCAAAAACAATGGTTTATTTGTGAAGAGTTGAGGTGGATCAGTAGAATGGGAAAATTGTAAGTATTCAAGAGAGGGGAGAAATGGAACCCAAATTCGTGTGCCAGTTAGAGGATCCGGAAACTTCTACACAGGAGGAGTGGTTCCGTTTAGATAGTATGAAGGCAAGTCATCTTCAGAAAGTAACGGGAAGGAAGGGTTCCGATATCATATCGGAGGATCGGAGTTTCTGCCGGGTCTCTTCTAATGGTTTCAATGGCCTCCGTGATGTAGGAAGCAAGGTATCAGTTGACAGAGCAGATGAATGAGGAAATGCTGGTGGTTTGAGGAGCAAGGCTGGGGAGGGAAACTGCTATTTAGAGGTGAGGCATGGGAAATGGTGGGATCATCTGAGAGCCACTGCAGGTGTGTGATGATGAATGTCCAACAGTGCAGTCAGCAGAGGAGTGTGTGCTTTATGGTGTTTTGGTTTCCACCCAAGCAGGCACAGAGCCGGTGAAGCGAATGCAGCAAGGCTGTACGTGTGCCAAATAAGCAAAAGGGAATGGAGAGGATTAGGGTGGGGGGCGGGTAACATGCATAGAGCTAAAACTTAAAGGGAATTTAAGCTTGGCAAGGAAAAATGGCTGGGCAATAGCAGGGAGAAGGATCATGGGAAAGATCCATGCAAGCTGAGACTGATGGAGAAGAATACACTCAGTATTGTATCAAGAAATCATCAGATAGATAAGGCCGGAAACAGAAAACCAATCTCTACGTGGCAGTGTAAGCACACTACTTAGAAATACAGATGTAAATACACGCAAAGAAACAAGTAATCCAACAAACCAAAAGCTATAAAAGGTTATGCTGGCACATAGGAATTGAATAATAAAATAGAACTGCTTGACTTTTTAAAAATTATGTGCACTCCAACTTTAAAATGAAATCTTATTCTTTAATTAAAAGTGATGAAGAAACTAGATATTTTTTAAATGGATAAACAAATTATCAAACTAAAACTATGACCATACTAATACCGGGGCCTCAAGTGGAGTGGAAATGTTTTGAGAATGATGAGGCCAATGAATGTACAAATGCGCTTTACACAATTGATGTATGTATGGATTGTGTCAGAATTGTATGAGCCCCTAATAAAATGATTTTAAAAACCTATGACCATAATTAATTAAATGTCCTTAATACTGTATTTACCAAATCTATTAGGTATATATATTTTTAAAGATTCATGTTTCCACTGACTTTCCCATGAGGTAATTTTTAAATTTCACTTCTTTCTGAATGAAGTGTAAAAATTAATATATCATGATATTTACTGTAGCATTGCATATGATATCAAAGTATCAGGGTCATCTTTAAAAGAGCAACTGTAGAGAGTTGGGTACAGTAAAATGAAGCTATATATGAGTATATGTTTATCATTTAGAAAGGTGTCCATGCTATGTGTTGAATGAAAAAGAAGTAGATTATGACTTTGTATGGAGGAGGAGCCACAATGATGAACTTGAACATTAAAACTTTAAGTGAGGATCGCACAAGTCTGGCTAACATTTCCTTTCCTTATATGCAAAGTTGCCATGCACCGTAGTCAGTTCAGCTTATATCTCTCTGTATCTGTCAGAAGAGAGAACATATAAGGTTATATCATTTAAAAAATGATGGCTGACAAGGGGTTTTTCTTTATAGTTTTGTTTGTGTATTTCATCCTCTATTTTTCCTTTATCAAACATGAATGTTATATAATAATCATATACTTTTTTAAATGCTGTGATAGGTTTTGTGTCAACTTGGCTGGGCCAAAATCCTCAGTAGCTTGGCAGTTGTGGCCTCTCCCATGATGTGACCTAAAATAATAGCAAGAATCTATGATGGGCTTGCTATGAGCAGCCAAACAGTTGTGAGAAGATTTGGGTGGCGTGCAACCCTTTACTCAGGCCACAGCCTAATGTCTCCTTGGGGTGTGGCTTATGTCATACATAACTTCCTTATTTATTCTTGCTGGCCTAGATCCTGCATCTGGCTTCTTGGGACTTGGGCTGGCAGCTTGTCCTGTTGCCGGCTGACCCTAAGAACTGTTAGTGGCCTGCCATGTTGTCTGCCGACCTTGGCTGTACTGCACTCAGACTCCATCAACTTGCCTCCTGATTTATCTTCCTGCTTCCTGGCTCATTGGCCCTAGCAGGTGCTCAAAATGGGAAGAGCCTCCAGCTTAGTATCTGATCCATGTGTTTGAGCCTGGCTGGGCTTGTCCACTTCTGCAACTCTGTGGGACATTTTCTCTTGATACACATTTCTTTCTTATACATAGATGGTTTTGCTTCACTAGACAGCACAGCCCGATACAAATATATTTCACAAATTATAATCCACAAATACATTCTACAATTATAATCCACAAACTCAGAGCAAACAAAGTCTTGTAGTAATTTGATTGGAGCTAAAGAAAGAGAGACAGGTTACCTGATTAATGGCTCCCAACATCTCGGCCCTACTGGCCATGCGTAATGTGCACTGGCTAAGAAATGACATGCTCTGCTCCAGCTTCTTAATGATTTCCTGGGCCTGGTTGTCATCTTCACATAGAGGTGTTAAAGCCTGTGCAGAGAAGAAAGTACGACAATGGATCCATTCCAAACACAGTTTTCTAATACTAAATTGTCAGGGTGGATAGTCAGATCTCAATTGCCTTGGTGGTAGAGAAAAAGCAGCAGGCAAGATAAGTAATAATATTTAAAATCCCACTTGCTGGCTGTCTAGTGGACTGTGCATGCGCTGATAGAACCCTTCCTGTCCATTGTTGATCCCTTCCTTTGCTCATGCCCAAATTTGCACTCTCCTTTTGCATTTACATAATTTCTCTATGGTTAATAGAGTAAATCAAAACTGAGAAACCATATTCTCCTGTGCTAATGATGAATTGTCAGCTCTGTCTTTCCTGATTGGAGGTGGTTATTGAAACTACAGAAGGAAACTATGTCTGACAAGATGCTTCCAATTGGTTAGCAACGCCCAGATTTTTTGATTTACTTCATTACTCTTGAGGGGTTCTGGTGAAGACACTGTTTATAAACAAATAGAACATGTCACATGAGGAGTGCAGTTTCAACTTTTCAAGAGAAGAGTTCACATATCCTGGGAATCAGAGCTGCTCTGACACTGCACTTGCTCTTTTCGCAATTACAGAATGTGATCGGGCTGACCAGGTGGGGATCCCGTTCCTGTCCTGGGTCGGGAATGATGGCCTTCCCTGGTGCAGGATCTTCCTGCTGCTTAAAATAGGTGCCGCAGTAAGAGAACAGCAATTTGAAGCAAACAAGCCTGGAATAATTTTTGGCACAACCACTCTGTGACCATATGCTAGTTTCTAAGCTTGTCCAAATCTAAATGTCATGGATTACAATAGGCATCCATAATGTATGTTCAATCCAGAAAGTAAAGGCATTGCCAATAAAACTCTAAGGCACCACTAATTGGAATTACATTCGAATTCCTGAAATGTTAGTTAGAGATTTGCTGTTTCCTCATCTGTCAGGAGATGCTGCATCTTCTTTCCAGGTGTAATGGGGTTAGAGGTAATAGATCAGAAGTTGACACTTCTACTGCTATTAGAGTTAATAGATGCTAAACGTTTGACACATATACTAGGTGCTCAAGGAATGGTGGCTGCTCCTGGAACAGATGGAGATGTGTACCATATATACTCATGTATAAGCCGAGTTTTTCAGCACATTTTTAATGCAGTTTTTGTGGTAAAATTAGGTGCCTCGGCTGATATTCGGGTCGGCTTCTACTCGAGTATATGCGGTATATACTGTCTGGGCGTTGCTAGTTTCCTTCTGTAGTTTCAATAACCACCTCCAATCAGGAAAGACAGAGCTGACAATTCATCATTAGCACAGGAGAATATGGTTTCTCAGTTTTGATTTACTTCATCATTTCTCAGCCCATTTCTACATTGATGGTAACGTCACAGGATGGAAGGACAACAGTTGTGGTTCTATTTTTATGAGCTGAAATTAGTCACCATTCTCTTTCTTTAATTAATCCCAAATGAATCTTCTAATTCCCTTCAATGAAGCTTGAAATTGATATTATCTCCGATTGCCCAATTTTATGTCTGATTATGCTACTGTCTGAAATCTACTTGAAACTCTAATGAGAAAGCAGATGACTCATCTAATTGACTCTGGAAGCTCTGTTTTGTTCAATTGCTGACAATCTCATATCAGCCTTTTTTCTCTCTCACACCAGCCTGACCCACATTCGGGTCAGGTAGGGCTTGGTACTTATCATACCCTTGTAATTATGAAAGCATTTATTAACAACCTAGCCCGATTTAAAGAAAAAAAACCACCTCACGGCGATGGAGTCAATTCCTGCTCAGAGCAACCCGCTAGGAGAGAACAGAACCGCCCCTTGTGGGTTTCTAATACTACAAATCCACATGGGGTTGGAAAGCCTCCTCTTTCTCCCCCATACCTACAGAGAGCCCCCAAATGTTCTGATTCTAACCTCTAATAGCTTCAAACAGTCGGAGATTTCCTTCTTCAAATTTTCTTCTGCCAAGTCACGGGACCTCTCTTCAAGTTTCGCTCTCTTCTCCAAGGTAAACCAGTCACACTTAAATCCCAAAGATAATCTGAGAAAT